AAATAAAATGGATCCACATTTAAGAATGGAAAATAAATCACTAAAAATGGCATCGATACTTTTCTGTTGATTCAAACCGTTCTGTCCCAGTCTTCTGAGCCTTGGACTGTGTCCTCTGGGGTGTCGTGCTCTGTAATGCATGAGTTTTCGTTAACATTTTCTGGTGTCATTTTGTCCTTTAGCTTGCTCATACTCCTGACGTTCTACTGTACGTGGTTGCAGGAGCCCAGACATTAGCGCATGTGCCACTACCTGCTGCTCTTCCTACGCTTTGCAGGTCACGTTAACCTGATATGGCTCAAACTCTGCTATTCTCATTGTCATTGGACTTTTGTGTTGCCTGTCAAAACATGGATGGAATGAGTTTTATCAACTTTATATTTATTTTGTGATAATTAAATAATCACAAGCGTCAAAAGAACAACTTGTTTCCCTTTCCTGTACTACATTTTTCCTCTTTTTATGATGAATTACCTCACTATTCACTTTTGCTCTCCCCTTTCTTTAACAGCTGTATCTACCTTCCTTCTTTGGCCTTTCTATCTTTTACAAATCTCAGGGATGTAATTAAAAGCTCAACCTTCCGACAATTGAATATAAGCGAACTATTAAATAACCTCCAAATTCTACAGCCTTGACAAATTACACATCACCAGTGTGTAATTTAGTTACTCTTTTTTTGCCTTTATGTTGTGCATCCCTTTACCCTGCCACAGCTTCCATTTTATCTTAACAGCCAGATGACATTGATGATTAATGTTGAGAGTTAATCACCCACAGCATGTTGGATTTAATCATTCTTTGATGACTCTACATGCCATGAAAATCTGTTGGAGGTTGCTCAGTTTGGTGCTGCTAAAGATTAGATTCTGTTTAGAGGGAGCAGTCACACAGTGGTAGCCAGGCCCAGCCCTGGTTTTGTTTGCTTTTTTGTTTTTTTCCAAACATGCTTGACTTGAGCTTTTATGATATTAAAGGCAGCGTGTTGTCGGTGGTCTCTGTTATAGACGGAGCCGATGATAGGCTCTCCTGTCCAAATAAATATCTCCTGTCAAAAATAGACATTGTTTTTTATAGATGTCTAAAATTGATTGGAATTGACTCTGTGTAAATATACCAGGGAGCCCAGAATGGCAAAGCCCAGATCTACCTAGACTACTTTTTCAGTCAGTGTTAAGCAACTAGTGTGTGCTGTGTGCAGCACTTTATGCACTGGTTGTAAAGCTAACCCATATCATAATTTAATGAACCATAGATTGAATGACAGATGAACCAATTTCTGATCATGTGTGACCCAGTACGCTTTTGTCAAGCATTTCAAATAAGCTTCTTAGACAATGCATAGGTCCCAATTTAAACAAAAAAAGAAAGAAAAGGGGGAAAAAAAGGAATTGATTATTAATTTTAGATTGATAAGAATTACTGGCTGAAAAAGTCAAATTATCTGAGAGGTAATTGTAATGGAATAATAAATAATAAGCCCATTTTTGTGTGTTCCATAATCCTTATTCTGGATAATAGTCCAAAATTTTTAAATGATTAGTTTGGTGCATAGTTTTTAATTCAGTGTCAAACAAACAGCAAATGGCACCGGGCCTGGTAGAGTAAGGTTGCCTTGCTGCATACAACCAACAATTCACACCTATCATGCATAGTAAAAGGAAAAAACCCTGCACTGTCACTGTTTACATTATCAGCTTCAAATAGACTGCTTCAGGGTTACACGTTTCTGCAAGAGATGATTTTGCAGTGTGAATGGGCTGCATGCAAATTTAAGTGTATGCATTAGGCCGTGTTCATAGATTACAAGAACTACCATATAAACCGTCATTTTTCTTGCTTGTGGCTAATGTGCGTGCATTTGTGCATGCTTGCAATCTGTCAGGGATAAGCTCTTTGCTGGACAGCTGGCCAGTTGTTGAGAGCGAGTGAGATGCAGAAATCTGATGATTAATCACTCTCCAGGCTAATGCTTAGCAACTGCAGAGAACCAGCCAGGCCTCAAGTCCACCATACTGAGTCCATCTCAGCCACAAAATGAATTTGTATTATCCAGAAACAGTATAATAGAATTACCCTGTCATACTACACCGCCCACATATGATGGTAAATAAACTGATGCCACAAAGCGTGCGAATCCAAAAATGCGTACAGCATTGTCCGCTTCCTATTTGTATGCATTTGTCGTCATGTTGGAATATACTCATTACCCTTGTATACTTAAGGCAGAAACCAAACCTGGACTCTGTTTCTGCTTCCCTTGCCTTGGAGTGTTTGACTTATTTGTCCTTAGGCAATAGCGCAAGTGCACATATTATACTGAAGCGGATATGAGAAAATGGTGGACACAATCTGGCCTGTATCCCCATGTTGATATTTGTTTTGAGGGAGAGAGAGTTAGTGCATTGGGTGTGTTCTGCCACAGTGTTGTTTCTGTTGTAGTCAGCTCAAATGCTGGTAAGAAATTTGGCTACAGCTGGGAAGTTTGGCTGTTTTACCAGCCAAGTGTGCCAGATACCCAACCACGCTCTTCAAGCCGATCAGATAGTAGATATTGAATTTTGGTGAACAACTCCAGACACCGGACGGTAGATTAATGAGGAAAAAGAGAAAAAGTGTGTTGCCCTCCTAGTCAACCCTTGAAGTGTAGTTCACTTGGATAGGTGTGTTTCTTCTGAGCCTTTTAGCATGGTAACACAAAGGACAATGAACATTTCTTAGTCTTTTCTGACACTGCCTGCAGTTTGCCGTTAGGCTTTGAATTGGTTGCTGGTTTAACAACAGAGATCTTTGCATAGCTGCTGCTGAAGAAACAACATAGTAAATTTAAAGAGTGACTGATAATGCAGCCTTAGTGACATGATGGGTAATTCTCTGCCCATTATCAGTCAGGCCCAGGGCAGAGCTGACTATGTAGTGTTGTTGTCAGGATGTTTTCTCTGTTTTGTCTGAAACGGTGAACTTGTTTCTGTGTCATGCTTTATTTCAGTTATTTAACACTTTTCTCTTCCGTTTTTCTCGAGGCAGAAGTTTTCTGACCAACATTCGAACTGTTGCTACACCTGAACTGTATGAGTTTACTGCTTACTTTGCTTATAGTTTTTAAATTTGGATTTAGAGTTTTCCACATTTCATCTGAACTGTCCGCCGATTAGGTTTAAAAAGAAACAGACCACATTGTTTCACACTGATGCTTTTGTTATTTTAACACTGCGTTGCTGACATGGTTTGGAAGTCTGATCTGTCAATCATCCTGTCAGGTTCAATTGCTTCGAAGTGGATGTTTTTACAGCGTTAAACCTGAACACATCAGGTGTGTTCTGGCATTGTTATTTTAGAAGCATGACAGTTAGTAGTTAGGCAGCCATTCCTTCTCCTGTCTTTTTTTTTTTTTTTTTTTTTTTTTTTAAATTGTAATAATCTATTTTATGTTTTTACATATTTACACAAAATGCTAACGGTTGATTTTCTTTGAGTGCCGCTCTACAAATTAGTTGGAGATTGTTTCTCATTTAAAAAATCCCTTAAATAATCAAGTAGTCGATGGACTAGATACCAAACTGAAAGTAGGACATGCATATTCAGTCGTGACCAAGTTTTGAGAGAATAAACATGACTAAACTTTTTAGTCATAGGGTACAGCCTATGAACAACAACTTCTAGCTAGAACAATTGCTGCCTTTGTCAAGTATGAGATCTCTGACACATGCATGAGGAATATAAAAGGTTTTTTAAGGCATTTCTACTTTTGAAGTTGGTATTTGTTAGAGAATGGCTTGGAAAATGGTGAAGGAGGAGGAAGGAAGCAATGAGACATTGAAAAGCGAGATGCGAATAATAATTATTTCATATTTAACTTTTGGTTCTTTCAGAGGAAGGGAAACCCAAAGAGTTGATCACTTTCTTTAGAAGTTGTTGACAAAGACTGCATATTTTGTCTGGCTGAGGTGGAGTCTGCACTGAAACCTTATCAGCATGCCACTTGGAGTGTGTGTGTTTGTTTATGGGTACATGTTTTTAGTGTGAGAATATTTTGTATATACACATCGTATGGGTGTGTGCGTGTTAACACGTATTTGTGTGTGCATACAATTATATCCAGTGTGGCTGGCTGATATGCCAAGGATGCCCTTGTTGTAGGTGACGAAGCTTTTGCCCAGGAATTTGCTTGGCTCATGCTCCATTTGACTGCTTGTTTTTCTCTTGACTTTCATTATGTTGCCTCATTGAACGAGTCTGTTTATTGCTTGTGTTTACTTTGCAAGTTGCACAGCAGGAAAAGCACACAAAAACATGCAAGAAAAGAAATTAGGGTTGAATTAAACACATAGTAATTAAGCACATAACAGCATCTTATAAGATGAGAGAAATCAACTGCTGAGAGCAAAAGCTAGATTTAATAAAAGAAAAGAACAACATTTAATTCTTCTTCCCATTGGTAGATACACACCTACAGATAATTTTTAAGCTACTTTGGGATGAGTCCTTCTGGACCCACACAATAAAGCTGAACACAACGTGAGCCAAGAAAATGCTATAACTTTTTTTATTTCTCATTTCTTACTTTTAAAACGATTTAAACCAATACTAAGTCTATGTGTACCTGTACAGTCTCTCACATTGAGAGAAACAAAGCTTTCTGTCAAGTCTTTTCTTTGAAACAAGCTCAAGTGAGGTGAGAAGAAACAGGAAAGCATGTGACTGTTCCCCTTTTTTAACTCTTTTTGGTCAAAAGTCTTTAAGTATTGCGGGAAGTTTTCACCATTGTGTAAATTTTCTAAGTTAAGAGTGAACATGTCTGTCTTGTGGCAAGACAGTCTTTGGCAAGCTTAGATATTAACCAAGTCATTGTCGCATTAATAAGGCAATTTCTTCATTGCTCCGCTTTAACAGTTAACACCATTGGTTACCACATTTCTTTTTATAGTTGTGTTAACTGCATGTCTTTGAAGCAGGCTAAAAATGTGACACAGTGTTTCTTTTTTCTCTCCTCTGTTTAGGAGCGCACCAGGTCATTTGACAGCTTCAACATGAACACTCTGGAGAGCTCCCTGATTGACATCATGAGAGCTGAGCAGGACAGTCTGAAAGGTAAAGATGCCAGTTGTCAATCAAGATCATGAAACACTAAGCAGACCAGTAGCATTTTTTTTTCTTCCTTTTTTCTGTTTTTAATTTGACATTGCGTTAACAGCAGAGCTGTTTTTTCATAGAAGGCCACAGGCCTAGACACTGGTTGGTGAATGTCTGACAACCACCAGTCGCTAGCAAAAAGTGAGTCTCCAGCATAAAGGTTTCGCCTTTTGAAATGTGTTGGTTGCGGCAATATGTTTCAATCTGTTTGTGACCAACGAGGAGGTTTTTGGTGCGACAGATGTCTCCCAGCATCAGCCTACAACTTCCAGCAACCATACATTTTTCCCTATTCTATAGGCAGGGAATTTTTTTTTTTTACTATGGATTCGGTACAGGAAATGAGTGTATATGCTGAAAGTGTATGCTTCCCATTTAGCATGTCTGTATTTTTAGAAAACCTGTGATGCGCTGGAGGTAGTTGTATGGACCTTTATCTTTAGATGCATCATATTTTCCCACAGATGGCACACATACTATGATACTGATCTTGTCATTATTTGTCCAGTAAATGGCTGGTGTGCAATAGTTATTCAGTGCATGTCAACTGATCTCGCTGAAAATGAGTTTCACAATATAACATGCAAACACTTTGCAGTACACTCGTTATTTTGCATTTGGCAGTTTTCCTCATATAAGGTGTGCAATACAAGAGGGGAAAAAAATGTTAATGTGCAAGCAGGCTTTACCTTTAAACACTTGTCTTTGTTATGGATTGTAGCTTATTTGGCCGCACAAAGGAACAACAGCTCACACACAATAATTTATCAGTTAACGCCTCAGTTTTTAGCAGAGAGGTTTCACCTCCTCCACAGGTCAGCCATGTAGAGGCTTTGTCTTCTTTTTGTGCTATCATCGGCGATATTATGAAAGGCCACAGTGTGTAGCAGTCAGCTCACACCTCTGTCTTCCTTTTCCTTCTTTCTTCTTCCCACTCATCATAAAAAACACAAACCAAGACAAACAAAAACAAAATTCTCCTTGTGGCTTCTATTCTTCTTCTTTACATTTTCTGTCATATCCATATATGCGATTATTCTGGGTGCGACAAATGCAGCTAGGTGAGACTATGTTGCATTCTGGCTTATGCCAGAGCTGACGGCAGTGGATTTCACAAGCAGCTCTAGGCAAGGCAAGGCAAATTTATTTGTATAGCACAATTCAACAACAAGGTGATTCAAAGTGCTTTACAGAGACATTAGAAACAAAAACAAATAAAAAGCATGATTTAAAATTGATTAAAACAAGCAAACAAACAAACTAACTAAACACACATTTCACACCTGTACGCGCGATCTGAACCCTTATCGTAAGGGGAGCTACCAGTCCTTCTGTGGACGAGCTACTTTCTATTTTAAATTCCCTGAATTTAAAATGGCATTGCTTGAAACTGTGTCTAATAGTCTGTTTTTGCTTGGAAGCCATATCAGGCTGTACAGAGCAGGTCAGGAGGAGACAAAACCACACATGTAAATGACAGAGAATCTGGTCATTTATCAAAATAAAAGACTAAACCTTTTGAAATGCTCTCAGTGTGATTCGAAGCATGCATAAAACTGCATCAGAGAGGTGCCTTTCCTGTGCAGCTGTTAATATTCTACTTGCTGTGTTACATATGGTATTCCTGATGGCAGATGTTTTCCACGTCAGTTAGCGTTTTCTTATGCAAGTTGATTCCCATGGACCTGTATAGCAATAATTGACTGACCTGCTTTTCCACTGTTATATAACACAATAAGGAGTTAATGAATTTAATATTTACAAAACACAGACGCCCAGCCATAGCCATCGTTGCTGCACATATTTGTGGTGTCCACAAGTTGCAGTTTTCAAAAGCACTTTTACCCACTATTGTTTTGAATCTGATGGTTTTTATATTGACAGATGACTGCACGATCAGCATAAAGTGAGCCTTTAGGAAGAGGGGTCCATTTAAGTGAGCTTGTTTCATAGAAACGGTGATGACCTGAGGGGCAATGCAAAAAGAACCATAAGATAAATACTGTCAGTTGTTTTAAATGTAATTCTCATCATCATTTTTATACTATTTTATTATTGTTTTTGCTATTTGTGCTAATTTTATTATTTTAAATGTCATTTTAATAATCATCTTATTTATTTATTTTTTAAATTAATTTATTTTATATTATTTTTTTATTTATTTTTTAACATGTTCAATGTATCGTTTCTGGCATGTCAAGTGTACAGCACTTTGTGTTCAACTGGGGGCTGATCTGAAAGTGCTATATAAATAAATTACTTGCTTGCTTCAATCAAAGCTACTTCCGTGGCATCCCAGATTTAAAAACACAAAGTGTACAAACTGAACTGAAGGATAGCTGAGCATGGTGCAATAGGTATAACCTCTTTCTCATGAATTTTAAGAAGCAGATGCAGAGAGATTCATGAGGGCTTAGGCTTTATTTAAATGGGAATTATGAGAGATGGGAGAGCCCTCGCTGAACTGAACTGACACTGTCGTTGTTTTCTAATGATCGCTGCTGCTAAGCTTTTCATGCAAAATAGTGTTGTGAAATAGTTTTGGTCCAAAATGTTTGAAGAAGTTGCATGCTAATTTTTTAACATGTTGGTGTAGACGTTGCCAAGAACAATGATACTTTTTAACATACAGTATTGGTCTTAGCATTAAAAGGAAACATTTATTTGATAGCAAACAGTGCTGCTGACCGGTTATCATAACCCAGAAATTGAATATTAAATTAATTCTACAGGAGTCTAATGATCATTGTTTTAAAGGGTGACGCTCACAGAAATAATCTGACTACAGAAAAGTTAGTCAGTGGCCAATAGTGAGTGTTGGCTAAGAGGATAGAGCTGAAGTTCTTAGTAATGATCATTGTTTGAAAGGAAGCACATTTGATTTCTCAAGGCTTAGGCTAAGTGTAAAAGGTAACTAACTATACAGTTAAAGTTGACTGTTATATTTGATAGTAGTTTAATAGGACAGAGGACTTAGATAATGATTATGTTGTTTTTGTTAGGTTGTACAAGTTTTAAGTCAAGGACCAGAAATTGTTAGGAGTCTTCTTATGAGGTAAAAATGTGGTATAAAAAATCTCTAAATGGGAGCGATGTCGTGCGTAATATATGCATAGCTTTATGTTCCATAAAAACGCTTACTATACACATCAGTTTATTAGCAGAATAAATACAAAATAAAAGTTTTAAATAAATTTTTAAGTATGGGATGCTACAGTAAGATCACTTCTTTAAACCTCGGACCTATCGGGCTCAGTGGCGGTATAATGTTGTGCTGTCAAATCTTAGTAAATGTTTCTTCAGTATTAGCAGAAGAAAACTAGAAGTCTGCCTCATTAAACATGTTTTGGTGCTTTAGCTCCACTGATGGATCCAAGAAAACACAGGAAGAGAAGTCAAAATTCTCTTCTAAAAACCACAAAGCTTCTGCTTTACATAACTTCATCACAATTTCAAAATACTGCATAGTCTGGTTTGCAGAAGTGATTTTTAAGCCCAACTTCCTATAAATATGATAGAATATGATATGTATACATCCTATAATACATGTAAAGTAGATGTTCTCTGCTTCGTTGATGCTAATATTAGCTCAGTGGTAGGGATGGGTACCGGTGTCCGGTGCCATGATGGTACCGGTGTCCGGTGCCATGATGGTACCGGTTCTGACATAAAAGGTAGTAACCAGACCGAAAAGCAGCGCACATTTCGGTGCTTTATTTCGGTGCTTTTTTTTCCTGAGCTGTGATACACTTCTAGCCAATCATTTTACGTTTCCCAGGATAGTAGGCGGGTCCAGGTACGTACGTTCTTTTAGAGCAGAGCTACAGATTAAAATGCCCAAGGCGAAGCGGTCAAAAGTCTGGCTGTACTTCACAGCAAAATATGCAAACTCAGCAGCCTGCAACAAGTGCTTTAAGCTGATACTGTGATACTGTCAAAGGAGGTAACACCTCAAATCCGATGAAACACCTGGCGACGCATAGAGTTTTTTTTTTTAAAAGCCCAGAAATGCGCCGTATGATAGCTTGCTGCGAGACCTCACACCGAGCGCATCTACTGTGCGTGGGTTGCCTGTTATCTGACCCGGAGTTAGCAATATCCCCCAAAAATCCCGAAGAGGAGAGTCCTGGCCCCTAGCCCTGCCAGTGTATCAGAAATGATGAGGATGATGATGCAGCAGCAGCCGTTCTTCTCTGAGTGAGTAGCTTAATGTTCGTGTGTAATTTACGTTGAGTAGGCTAACCATGTTATTACATTAATGCAGGTAAGGTGAACTAGCAAACATCATCATAGCTACATGCAGCTGTCTTCTTGTTTGATGGCAGATACTCCCTTCACCCTGGCCAAAAAGGCTAAAATGACCAAAGAAAAAGTGGAAAACAGTTAAACATGAGAGGTTTTGGATAAAGTTTGTGTTTTTCCATTGATTAAGCACTGCTTCCAGCCAAGAGTGATACCATATATGCCCCATAGCTGCAGAAAAGGCTAACATTGTTATCTTTTTACAAAAAACCAGCTGAACATGAGAGGTTTTTGGACCAATTTTGTGTTCTCCATTCTTTAAGCACCGTTTGAGCACCGGCACAGTTTCAAAAGTACTGATTTGGCACCGGTATCGGATAAAACCTAAACGATACCCATCCCTACTCAGTGGCATTCTCAGAACCTTTTTCTGTGTGGTCAGGTATGTTTACATTTTTCCGTTGTCTGCAAAGCTTGTCTGAAGAAAGATGACAAAAAGTAAATAATTTTAGACAATAATTTGATGCATAACAAATATTATATTATAATTACAGCGACTCTTCTCCGGGCCAGTTTTTGCTCTTTCTCTCCGTCACATGCATACATGCATCTACATAACAAACTGTGGCAGAATTCATACACAAGCACATTTAGATGCACATAAGCAGGGCAGCAATTTCTCATTCCGGCTTAACATATTGAACAAAGTGAGAGCAATGAAGCAAGGGAGCGGGCGAGACAAAATGTCTACAGTACAAGGAGCTTTGAATCCCTTCCAGCATTGTCCTGACTGACAGAAAGGATCCCTCTGTTCACCCGCCCCATGCATGCACACACACACACGCCCCCCCCCCCCCCCCCCCCCCCCCCCCCCCGTCTTTTGTGTGCTCTGCATGCATGTGCTTTAACTGTTACAGTACTGTACTCACATGTAGCCAGGAGCATGCAAATCAGGTTCACAGAGCGGGCATGCACAGTCCTGCAGACACACAGGGATATGGTGCCTACTCGTGTGATCCTCGGAGACCATTATAGCCCTTTAAAATTCAGAATAGCAGGTGGTGCTCAGATGGACTTTTACCTTAGTGTCATCACATCACTAAGGTCTGAATTGTAGTCCAGAGGATTTTAGTTTGGTTTGGTTGCCACCTTTGAGCTTATTTTGATTAAACTGAACTCATTTTATTGCATTTTTATTCAGATAATGATGATGGGTGCGCTACACAGTCGAATATTATCATCGAGCGGCGTGTTTCAAAGCTGCAGGTGGTCTGTCCTGGTTTCTCTGCTCTGTGAGTCGGGGTTCTGTTTTTTTTCTGTTCCCCCCCCATAGTTCTAGGCAAACTATGGGGGGAGGAGCCAACACATTTCCATGTGACCAAGGCGTTGGAATGCACCAATCACAGGGCACTCATTACCCACTCAACAATGGTCGTACTATTTGAGCTCTTTCATGTCATTATCCCTCTGCAGCAAGTGGGCCTTGCATAACTTCGAAGCTTGTTTGGAATCATAACATGTTTGTGTAGGCGCGGGTGTGTGCATATGCAAGAGGGTCTTGGCAAATGGCTAAAATCTATAGCATGAGGCTTGGAGAATAACGAGGTGATAAGAGGGAAAGAGATAGTTGATGTCCCATAGATGTAGGAGAAACATGCAGCGAGCGGTAACAAAGGTTGTGGTCATAGCTGTCCCAGCTAAAGTCTGCTCTGGATTAACACTTTAAAAAAACTTATAACAAAGTAAAGTCACCAACTGTTCCTATATTATGCGCAGAATAGATCAAATAGTGCCCCTCGGCAATTTAATTAGTGCACTGCTGTAATTGTCAAGAGGATTATTATGGTAACAGCCCTTTTCCAAATACAAAGTACTGATTGATAGTGTTAGTGGTGCTGTCTTGCCTCACATTGTTTTTAGCTGGCTGTAGCTGGTGTGGAGGGCAGACATCGCATTAGTGACAGCCATTTTATTACTATATCTTTCATATTCTTAATAAAATACAGATTTTTCTTTCAACTGGTCAGTGAAAATATAATAATAGCTTTATAGGAAGGTTTATATGATATAACAAAAGATTTTTTTGTTGTGTTTCCCTATGTAGGTCGTCTTGGTTTTCCTCACCCAGGAGGGGACAACCCTCTTCCCCTCAATGGTACGTATGGTAACCTAAACACTCAAGAGTCTGCTAAAATGACAAACTGGGCAATAACAAACTAATTAAAAAATTAAATCATAAAATGCTGATATCTCTGATAAATTTATTTATTGCAAGCTGGCATTCATTTTATTTATTAATTTTTTAAAAAAAAGGGCCTTTATCGCTTAAAAACGCCCAATAAGTTAAAATGGACAAGTGGACAGTAGATCGACGTGAAGAAGAGTCAGATGTTTCAGATGGTTTTTTTTGGAGACGTAACAAGGTGGGCTTCATCAGTCTGAGGAAATGGCAGTAATCTCTCATTCAGACATGGGATGCTTTTCCATTAACGTCCCTCATAGCTTCCCAGCCAGTGCCATGATGGAGGGAGAGAGTGATGGCATGCCTGTATTGTATCGACTCTAGCGAAGCGTAACTGCACTTGAAGGTTTAGTTGTTTGCCGCTGTTGTTGCTAAGAGCGGTGTTTCTGTCTGTGTACTGTTCATTGCAGCAGCTGCTCCTGCCCCTTGCATGCAGGATCAGAAAGTAGGCGATCTCCCTGATAGACTGAGAGAAGCAGGAATACATATTTTATGATTGGAAAATAAGTTAGTTAGACACAAGACACTTGTGCAGTTGTAATCTTGAGTGTGTAACCATTAGTGTGACTGGTTTCAGTTAAAAACTTGTTGGTAAGAGTGCCATTGTGACTCTTAGAGGAAGTAGCCACGATATTTATGCAGACACAAAGGTAGGGTGTTTAGATGCCGTCAGATTCTTGGAGAAGAGTGCACATCTTAAAGGAGGGAGGTAGGCTAAATATAGCAGGTGGAGATGCAGATCTTTCTGTTCGTCTTACCTGAAGTTAAATACAAGCACATCCCCACATGCCTGCTTGAAATTAAACTAACAAGCATATATTTTTGTGCCCTTTCTCCTAGCTTGAAACTAATGTGGGGCTCTTCCCTTTCTACCTGTTACTGTTGAGATTGCTTAGTCCCCAAAGCCAAGAGGTAAAGAATGGATTGAGAAATGTGGACAAGTGGAGGGAGCGAAATGGTGTTTTTTCACCACTCTTTAATAAGTGGATAGAAAGCAGCAATGAAAGGGAAACTGCCTTTGGTTTGAATAATTTGCTAAATACCAGAAATAGTTTGATAGGTAGTTACACTAAAGATGAACCTCTTTGCTGTTCTCATGCTTCTTAAGGAGGCTCTTTCATCTTATGTTTGTTTTGCTTTTAAATGCATTCTTTAATCCTGGTGCTTCTCAAAAATAAGATATGGAGCTCGAAATTAGAATTGGCTTTATACTTTATTTCTTTCCTCAGCGGGTAGGAAAAAACCAAACCATTCATGTCCACATGATATGTGGAATTTAGTGGCTTCTACTTTGCCCTTGTACGCTACAGCTTCTGGGCTTGGGGCTAAGATGTAAAACATGAAAGGCCAGCAGTTTCTTCAAAAGATTGCCGAGTCACATGGCAAGATCACATGATCAGGAGCTGTCATCAAGCCCCGAGACAGATGGTGCCAGCGGATAGGCAGCAGATAGAGGATGCACACTAGCCAAACCCTCCCTTCCATCCCTCTACCCCCACCTCATAGGAATGCAATCTTTGTGTTCTTATCTCCTGTTCTTTCACCCTTTCATTTTCTTTGACCATTTTTTCTTTTTCTCCTGTTCACGCACTTCTTATAGCTCTGTGTGCTTCCTTTTAGTCTGCTTTCTTGACTCTCTTGGGCTCTATTGCTAGCCTTTGTAGCCCCCCCCCCCCGGTTGATGTCCATCTGGGTTGGAAAATCCACTGAGGGAGGCCAGGATTGTTGCTCATGCGCTCTTCTCCATGTTGCTCTTTTACATGGGTTGAGGGCTGGTTCACTCCAGTGTGCACATTTGAACATTTGTCACTTTAGCTCAAGGCCAGTATAGTCCCCCCCCCCCGCAATGATGTCAGCATCAGAGAAACCACTGCCCTGGGAAAAGTTTGGATAATGACACACTGGATACATTTTCTTTCTGTTAATGAGGCTAGATTGAAACTGCTGTTGTCAGGGGTAGTGCTGCTTGACCTTCAGTGATGCATTTGATGTCTTGGAGAGTTCAGATTTAGTCACTAAATTACTGAGGTCATGCTTATAGTAGAGGTCTCAATTTTATTTATTTTTTAAATAAATAAACGTCTTTTACACTTATTGAGCCTAAGGCAATATTTATCTATTTGCAGCATTACATTCCTGGAAAACATTCTAGTGCAAACTAACATTTTCTTCAGCTCAATGAAGAAAAAAAGGTTGTAAATTGACTTTTATTATGAAAGAGTCACACAGGAAGTGCAGTGCATTTATCAGTGAACTTGTATCTTAATGCCATTATTCACTGTGATGTTTTTTTTTTAAATTTTATTTTGGATAACAGGTGGGTTTGAAATATTGCAGGGAGTAATGAAACAAGCAGGAGCAGCCACTGTGAACCATTAGATAAAGAGCTGCAGGCAAAAGGCTGTAACTTCCCAGCAAAGTAACCAACTCACTCTGCCATGCTGTTTGCAGGTTCATGCTGTGTGGAGCACACATGCAGGTCAAATATGACCTACAGTTTTAAAGCACATTTGCTGTTAGCTATAGGTCTTGCTAAATTAGACCTGAAATCCAGTTTAAGGTTCAGCCCTGGGATCAAGTCTTCGTCATCGTCTTTCCGTTTGCATAATTATGCAGACTTGCTTAATTTTGGTACTTTGCAGTCAAGCTAGGTGAACTGGATAATTCACACGGCTGTTTGGCTGGCATTGAACATATAATTATATCTGGCACTTAACTTCACACAAAGCTGCAGTTGTTCCGAAACTGGTTTCTATTCATGCTTTTATTATTTTCTTTTTCCTCCTTCCTCCTCTTTCATTTTCTTCCCCTCTTTTAATTGAAGGCTTCATTTGATTTTTGATAGATGTTCCTGATGTGCTTCACTTTCAAGTTTCAATTTTTCTGCCATTTCTGTCAATATTCCTATTCAGAGCATCCATACATGTAGCGTAACACTTCATGTTATCCTTCAGTTTCTTTGTTAAAGGTTATCCCAGGGCTTGTATTGAATTACAGAAATGTTTTGCTGTTGAACTGAGATGTCCTTTTTTAGCTGTGCGCCTTTAGATTGTCTCCTTTATCCCCTTCTCATAATGAGTCAGCATTTTATTTTGAAAGTGCTATATTAATAGCGAGGTGACCTTTACAGCGTGTCTATATAAAGTGTCCTTTATAAAAAATACAGCAAGTTTAAAATGATTGTCTGCAACCTTTCAAAATGCACAGTTCCACAATTAAAAAACACAAAACAAAAACCTGCTTGATAGTCGGTGTGCTGACAAAACCACAGGGTGTTTATGATTCATCGGTGATTAATAAAATCAAGGGCCCGCAGGCTGAAAGTGGATCGTCTCTCCATTGTCGTGCACCACCTGGCACTTTTATTGGTATTATGTGTATTATGGGACTTTTGTGAACATCCTCTTCTTTGATTTGTCCTTATTCCACATGCAGCCAGGAATTATAGCAGGAGACGAGGTAAAATGCAATCACAAATACATCATGTCTCGTTTTCAGCATATTTTCCCGCCCTATAAGCCTCAGTGTTTAACTAATCTTGTAATGTTAAGCAGTGTTATGATTTTATTGACTGTGGTCTGCTTGTTTGTTGTTACATTAACGGGCACGTGCATTTAGTTTTGGAATGGCCCTGTGCTTTTTTAAAACTTGTTTTCTTTTTTTTTTTTATACGTGCAGTGATGTGACGAGTTTGTCTGCATGATTGTCTTTAGTCTCGAGCCTTGTTACTCGTCGTCAAGTGATCTTGTGCATCTTTTATCCTCAAGTTTTTGTTTCTCTCATTATGCTTCACTCTGCTTGCTTTTCTCCATCTTTGCTTGCATATTGCAAGATTAACTCAGACAATACAAGACGGTGTCACACTTAGCTACAAGTTAATGAGGCAGGGAGACGCGCAAAGTGTAATTCCTGATTTACACTCATTGCAAGAGGAGCCCGACACATGGCGAGGCACACACACTGTCAGTTAAGGCTAACGTCCTTGCATAAATCTTCATAAATCTTCATAAAGCAGCTCAGGGCAGGTTGTATAGGAGCAGGGATAGAGCAGGGAGAGCTTAACCTTTACCACACACAGTGCACTCTGAAAGTGTTTATACTTTCTCACTGATGGGACTAATGTGTGCGCGATAACCTTTATGTTCACAGGCAGCACAGTTCCATGTGTGATTCATGGAAGCTAATTAGGAATAAAGAACAACACATCAAGGACATTTAATTCGGTCAGACTGTGATGTGGTCCTTTCAGGCTCTAATATCTCCATTCTGCGTGCACGTGTTTAACTGATTCTCTTCCAATTTGAATCAAATAGTTATATTTTAGTAAGTAAGATAAAAAGGTTAATGGTTTGTTTACTGTTGTTAGATCAAGAAAATTAAAGTAGTAGGAATTGAGGTCAGATAGACAAAGGGATGAAATTAAAGTGCTCATTTACGGCCATCTTTATTGTAGTGCCATTACCATGATTTACTGTTTTCTTTAAAAAAACAAAACAAATGTCTAGTTTTCTCTTCAAAAGATAAATCTTTTCCACCTTCTTCTTCTTTCTCAGGCCACTCTTCTCTCTTCCCCATAGAGGATGGTTTCCCTGATGATGAACGTGGAGACCAGGGTCTCGCAGGCCTAGGTTCCCCACACTGCTTTCCGCACCAGAACGGAGAGCGCGTGGAACGCTACTCGCGCAAGGTCTTTGTTGGAGGACTGCCCCCAGATATAGATGAAGGTGCAGTAGTAACATGATTAATATCAAAAGGATTGAATTCCTGGGTTACTTTTAGCCTTTTATGTAATCAAACTTAGAACAAGGGAACTTGAGGGAAAATGTAAAAAGTTAAAAATAAATAAATAAAGCAATCATGCCTGAAACACACAGGGCTTCTTACAGTACACCCCCCTGTAATTTACTGTGAAATCTGAGCAGGGCCTCTGCTCTAAATCTCCCCTGGTGTTTTCTTTGAAAAAGCTATGGGCTGACGATGAGGATGCATTATTATTATTTTTTCATTTCAGATGAGATAACAGCCAGTTTCAGACGCTTTGGACACCTGTTTGTGGACTGGCCTCACAAAGCTGAGAGCAAATCCTATTTTCCTCCCAAAGGTATCTTAAATTCCTTAAATTCACAGCTTGTTCACACTATGCTGTTTTTTTTTTTTTGTTTGTTTTTTTTTTTTGGCAACTGACTTCAGTATTCCTGGGTAAAGCAATGAGTGATAATCTTCTACAATCGATATCTATACATCTGAGCAATCTGGTTTTGTCTTCAGGCTGTTATCTGAAGCATTTGTCATCTCTGCTCAGATTGTTTGTATGTTTGTAAAAGCTTATGCCTTCCTGCTGTGCGAGCAGAGTGTCGTGATCAGACATGCTTTCACAGTAATCAGCAAACTAAATTCCAGCACAATCCTCTGTCAGTACTCTGCGGCCCCAGCAGCGAGAATAACCCTCTTGTGTTCTGTGCAGGCTATGCCTTCCTGCTGTTCCAGGACGAGAGCTCAGTGCAGGCTTTGATCGATGCCTGCATCGAGGAGGATGGCAAGCTGTACCTCTGCGTGTCCAGCCCCACCATCAAAGACAAGCCGGTCAGTGGGAACACACACACACACACACACACACACCAATTTGCTTAAATCTATTGGTAGTCCCTTAGTAGACTAGAGCTAAAAAAAACCAAAACCCACTTGTTGGTTTTGTGTGTGACAGGTCCAGATCCGCCCATGGAACCTGAATGACAGCGACTTTGTGATGGATGGATCTCAACCTCTTGACCCAAGGAAAACCATCTTTGTGGGAGGAGTTCCTCGCCCACTCCGTGCAGGTATCCTTCTTTTTTATGCTGGTATTTTTCCGCCAGCTGAATTAACAACAAATGAGTGTTTATAATACAAACATCTGAGGAGTATTCTGTGCATATGCTTTGCATCTCAAGTGTTTTTTTGTCAAAAGCCTTTTAAAGGTTCTTATTTCCCTTCCCTTTGATTCAGTAGTCTAAATATTTTTATAGCATAAATGACCAAATGAGAACAATAAGTAGTAGTCTTCTCTTACTTCCTTTTCTTTCCCAACTGTTGAAATATCAGCCGTAAGCAAAATGCTTCCTTCTGTGAGACAAAATGTGATCAGCTTGTGCTTATAAAATTAGACCCGCTACAGGGTGAGGCTAAAGAGACACTGACCTACACTGGTTATTTCAGGAAGTAGTCTCTATGACACACTGTGCAGTGTTAAAAAAAATAAATATTTTTTTTCCCTTGATAATAATGTCACGTGTACTGTGTGTTCAAGTTTATGCCACCTTTGTGTAACTGTGTCTTAAACCTCTGTGCTGCCGTTTTAGAAAGGAACAAAGACATTAGGCCCAGCAGTGCATTAAATATTTTATGACCGTGTGTAATAACTGGGTTTAGATTTGCATTTTAAGAAAATCCACATATTAAAAAGGACGTTCAGACTTTTTAATGTCGTAATAAGTAAAGCTGAAATGTAAACTTGCAGGGATTTTTTTCCACAAACTGCATGCTTGTTAAAAAAACTGAAAAACAGTCATAAGGACGGTCAGTAAATTCAGGGCACTGCTTTCATATTTACCCCGTGAAACTCTGCAGGACTTTAATCCGTCCACGTTAATGGTTTAAACTCTCAGATGAACAGTTCTCATAAAGTATGTGTTTGTGTTTTCTGGTTACACTGGCATGAGTTTATGTGAACCTCTGTATCCACACAGGTAATTGCTGGATTTCTGTGTCCTGCAATCTTTGTGTCGGTGTGCTGTCTCCATCTGTGCATCAAACTTGTTTTTGTGAATGTTTTGTTGATCTGCTTGTGTGCGTCTTCCTCACCCTCCCTCTTTGCAGTGGAGTTGGCCATGATAATGGACCGCCTGTACGGTGGAGTTTGCTACGCTGGCATCGACACAGACCCCGAGCTGAAGTACCCCAAGGGAGCGGGGCGGGTCGCCTTCTCTAATCAGCAGAGCTACATTGCTGCTATCAGTGCTCGCTTTGTACAGCTGCAGCATGGAGAAATCGATAAACGGGTGAGTGGAAAGAGGAGAGAAAAAAAAAGCTCAGTGTTTTTCTGTCTTCCCCCTCAGCCCCCTCCTTTCTTCAGCTTGCTTCCTGCTCTTACTCGTGGTGTTTCTTTCAGTTGCGCAAAGGTGATGCAAAGTTTTAACAGTTTTTCCTGGAGTAATATAGTCATACTATACTGCATTTTATACAGAAATCATCTAGCATATGAACAGAAGAGTATAAATGACTGCTGTTAAATTTAGCTTCAGATTTTACATCCATTTTAACCTTTATCCAGGCAGAGTAGTTATAATAGGCGTGCTGTGTTTGTGATGTAACTGGAGCAGAGAGTGATTTGTGTAACAGAATAATGTAGGTTCACCAGAAATGATTGGATGTTTTTAGCTGAAATATATCTTGGTGTGGTTGAACTGGGCTTAAGATTTTCATGTCTTCGCAAGCTGTAAAACTGCTCTAATGACGACTCTCCTGTTAAAGCAATAATTGAGATTTTTACTTGTAGAACTGCCTGAAATTCAGACTTTGTAACTGAGTGGACTGTTTTTTTGGTCAGCAGTTAAAACAGCTATTTTGACCAGTTTCAGTAGTAAGAGTACAAATTTGTTAACAAGTGCTTTTTTTTTCTTTTTTTTTTTACATTCATACTGTATGTGTCAGTGAACCAGCATGCATAATACCAAAAACCCTGAAAGTGAAGCATCTAAATGGAATTTGGCTTTCATTGAGTTCATTTATCAGTGCTATACCTACTGTGACCTGAAAACTATTCTCTATAAAAAGGCTATGAACTCCAGAGCCTCACTCTTTCAGTATCAGGAACCCTACAGATGGTGCACAGTCTATTATTTATTACATTTTTTTTATTAGCCTTAATTCATAAGAATACTGTCAGTAACTTAGCCAGCGCTGTCAGCAGCAGAAGAATTACAGTAATCTCTACAGGCATGCTAATGAACTGTATATGACACAAATTCTACTGACAATAGGTGAGTTAAGATAACGTGAGACTCAGCAGATGCATGTAAAGTATAGGTAACATTATAAGATAAGACACTGGAGTAATGGTATGCTCTTTTAAGATTTGCATAATTGTGATGTTGTGCAAATTTTGTGTAATGACTGCCTTGGTAACGTTCACCTCCCAATACTACAGTCATTCATCAGTGAGCAGGAAAGATAAAGAAGCAAGAGGTGTTCCAAAAGGTCATAAACAGGAAGTTTAAAATGCAGAAAATTTTTAGTATTTTAATAACGGTGAAGTCAGCAGTGCGATATTAACAACTTTAAACATTCTTTTGAATACTGATCAGGAATAGGAGATTATTCGGCTTTTTATTCATTCTGCTTTTTATAAACAAAAACAAGTGAAACACATTTATGCAACAAAACAAATGTCAAGTGCTCAGATCATTTTCCAACATGTTTAAAAATTCACCAGACAACAGGACATCAACAATTTATTTATTTATTCCTCCCCGCCCCCATCTGACTTCACAATTTTCCTCATAACTGCTTACATCCTTTGCTCATACTGAGGCTGTTAGCTTGGATAGCTTTAGCATTTACCACTTTGGCTTTGTTAGCTTCTTTCATCTGATTAGTTTTGTTGTTAAAAATGTTTGTGTGGTCATTCCCGTTCTCATGGGTCACTTTGGCTAAATTTGCGTATTTACTCACAGTGAAGAGCTTTCATGCTAACGACATGTTTGCGTGTGACACTGAGTAAACCTGCAACTATTTGCATGTGCCACTGTGTGCATGTTGCACATGCATGGACTGGGCCTGCTCGTTGCTAGTCAGGGCCACAAACAATAAAAATGGTCCAGTTCCTGTCACTAGATGGTCAATCAGTGCATCTTTAGTTTAATTTGTGTATGTTGAAGCATAGACTGAATAAAGAAAGCACACTGTGTGGGGTGCTAAGTTAACAGCAAATCCTGGCTAGCTTGGTTAGGAGGAGGAAAGCTCATACAAACACCTGCTTCCTTATTCACAAGGGATCGCGATGCCCTTCCTGAGACAAGCCCACAGGGATTTGTGTCTCCTCCCAGTCTCGAACTCTGGATTTCTTTTTTTTGTCTCTCAGGCCACCACAGTATGGAGCCTCTCACACACACACATCTGCTAATCACTGGTAAATAACGGATTGAGAAGATACTACAGTCTTCCTCACCAAAAGTGAAGCTTCGGCTATTCCACTCAGCACGTCATATTATTTGTCAGCTAAATCAAGATAATGTTTTTCCAATAAAAATGGTAGAAAAGGCAAACAGCCTAATCGTAGCAGATTGTTAATCAGCTATAATGAAAATAAACTGTGCATTGTGGCCAAAATTGAGGTCTGTGGCGTCTGCAGTGAATGAAAGTTCAATTTTGAGCCCAGGCTGATTCTGTGACACTTGAGATTGCTTGTCATAAAAACAAATGTGGTTAAGAAATGCTGAACAAGTGCAAAAAAAGAGACCTTTTTTTTCCCTTTGTGGAAATATTTTTAATGACCAATTGCCGAAAAGAATTACAGCAGTAGGGCACCCGGGATTTTTTTATTCACATTAACTTAAAACAACGTGATGCAACAGTAGGAAAGGGAAAAGTAAACGGTGAGACTCGTATCAGAAAGATGGAATTACAAAGTAACAGTAAGCTGGGTTATAGACATACACTCTCCCCTGTGCATCACTCATGCGTGTGGAATAGCAGACCCCTCAAATAACAATGAAGGCTGTTACATAGAGGTGTAAATGCAGTGAATTATTGATTGGATTAATTCACGGTATTAAAAACAATATTTTCTTTCCTGCTTACTGTAATGATTCCAATAATAAAAGCAGCACCTGTTGTGGCTCACGTTGCACCCTGCTCGTAGTATGTATGGATTTATTTATTTATTTCTACCTCTTTTGCAGGTGGAAGTGAAGCCATATGTGCTGGATGACCAGCTGTGCGATGAGTGCCAGGGAACTCGCTGCGGTGGGAAGTTTGCGCCGTTCTTCTGCGCCAATGTCACCTGCCTACAATATTATTGCGAGTACTGCTGGGCGGCCATCCATTCGCGCGCCGGCCGCGAGTTTCACAAACCCCTGGTGAAAGAGGGAGGTGACCGACCCCGTCACATCTCCTTCCGCTGGAACTGAGCGGAAATTAGAGAGGGAGAGGCAACAGAGGAGCAGGAGGGCAGGTAGTGCAGGAGTCGCAAAATCATTGTACAAATAAATGCACTTTTCTGTTGCTGGTTCCTTTTTGCTCCACTTTCACCCGACATTTTTTGCAATTTTTTTGTTAAATTAATATTTAAAGACGGAAAAGAAAGATTGGATTTATATCCAGATATGTCAAGGAAGCAAAAAAAAAAGAAGATGTGTAATATGATTTTATTTATGTTTGATTTTTAAAATATTTTTATTAGTTCTAAAAAAAAAAAAAACTTATATAGAAAAGTTTGAGGTGTGATATGGTACTCTGCTATTTTAATTGGGATATTTTTCTAAACAGTGTATTTTATTTTAATTTTGATACAAGAGGCCCCGAAACAAATACTTGTCATTTGACATTCAGCTGACTTGTTTTGTAGCAGAGCTCTTACATTTTATTTTGTATCGAGTCTCCAGAGCAAATGCTGTTTGAACAGAATATGATTGGCTATTTATTTCTGAGAGGTAGGATTAAAGTGCCCCTATTTTGCATATTTGCATATGTTTAAAGTCTCAGTGTTTCATGTGAGGGAGGCGAGTGTTCACTCAAATAGATTTTGTGAAGTCCAAAAACAAGATTTGGGTCATACTGTTCACTGCTGCAGTGCCTGTCTTTAACCCTCTGTGTGAAACTCTCCGTTTTGCCTCCTGTCTCTTTAAGCCCCCCCCCCCTGACATAAGTCACAAAACAAAAACCTTTGACAGTTTCAAACAGTACAGCAGTATTTTATATATAGTTAATATATAAAAAATCAACATACACACACACACACACACACACACCAGACTAAAGGATATGGAAGAACCCAAAAGGCATAATAGGGGCACTTTAAGTTTGCTATTGATAGCTGAGGCTCCAGAGCAAATGTGAATTAAAAAGGGTGTTGCTAAAGAAGAGTGCACTTATTTCCAGTTTAAGTACTGAAGATACACAGTACGTAAGACCCTTAGTAGTTACCAAAGCTGAATCTTAATTCACTCTGACGAGCAGAAAGAGCCCACTGCAGAACGAAATGGATTCGTTTTCCCTTCCCAGATCAAAAACGTTCGAACCTCTCGTTATGATTTCCAGGACCATACAAACATTTTGATGTTACTTGAAAATCTAAACAAAATTTTAGCAACACTGATTAGGGTTTCGATCTCCATTTTGACATGCAAAAACTAATACCTCAAACTCCGCTGCTAATGTGCCGAATACAGAGAGAGAGAGAGAGAGAGAGAGAGAAAAAAGAAACCAAGAAAGAAAACATCATCGCTCTCTGGTGTTCTCCTTTCCTCAGAACTATAATCAGAGGGAAGTGATACAACAGGCAGAGTGTGATGTAACTGGCACAGTTTTCTACTCAACTTGCTTCATCACCTCCTTATTTTTGTAATCAAACCCAGGGTTGTGCTAGTGACAGAGCATCGTAAAATATACAGTGTATTATTGGAATGTATGGTAAAGGGAGGCTACAGGAGAGACAGGCTTAGTGGTGAAGAGAGAAATTCAGCCCCAGATCCCCTCCTCGTGTCTGCCTGCGGCCTCTGCTGCTAAGCTTACAGCTAACAAACAGAAGGCCTCATTCGTGGATCACAACCTGCTCGAGGCTTGAATCCACGTCCTTCAGGACCGAGGTTAAGGCAACGTGTCACTGAAGGACGGTATTGCAGTTTTTAATGGGGCTACCACCAAACAGGAAATACCTGTCTGTGTTAGTTTTGTTTTAATGCATTTGTGCAATTCTCCCAAGTCTTTAATGGAAAAAAAAAAAGTTTTACTTTGCATCCAAGGGTTAGTTACATTTAATGAAAGAAGCAATTAAAAGTTTATCTGACTTTGGAATCGTCATCACATGTAGGGATCTGTCCTTGAAGCCAGGTCCCTGCCAAGCTAATCCAACTCAGCATCCAGTGTTTTTGAAGCATAAATGAAGATAGTCTCTGAAGTGTGCTCTACTACTGCACACTTGTGACCCACATGCAGTTTGCTCTCCATAACGAGATTGCAGGTCCAGTCGACTGTAGCCAGCGGCTTTTGGGAACCAAAGATGGCTGTGCAGTAGTGGGTCATACTGTAGCTTGTTACTTGTGTGGAAGTTTTGGTTTTTCTTTTTCATTTTCTTCAAGGACGTTTTGCATATATATATTTTTTGTTTTCCTAAATCTGTGATTTCTACCCAGTTTTGCTTAACTGTCAAGCCCTGATAGACTCCAGCGAACCAAAGATTGGCCTTGAACATCGTCTTTACAGAATGCATTATGCATATGAACGATAGTGCCGTGAAAACCATCAGAACATCAGTATGGGGGGGGGGGACAAAACAGGGCTTGCGAGACATGCAAACAAGGCCTCACACTCCCTCCGTAGCTCAAAATGGAGGTGTGTGCTGTCAGTTAGGCGCTAGTTATTTTTATCTGAAATGGATTTGTGCGTTTGGGAAAAGTAACACAAAAAGTACACCTTCCCACGGCGAAAGTAAAACTAATCCTTACCTTTGTTTGAGTCACTCAGTGGTAACCTTATTAGCCGAGCATTTAAATGTCAGGGAGTTAGTACAGAAACTTGATTATTACACACACTAGTGAGAATCCTCATATCGGCGCGGTGTTGTCGGCACCAGTTTTGCACCCTGGACATTAGTTTTGTGGGTGTGGTGGGTGAGCATTTTAGAAGTTAAAACACTTTGTGAAGAATTTGCTGTTAAATGAGATGAAAAAAAAAGATTATTTTATACATGGCCTGCTGATTTTTGGTACAGTGTTTTCTAGCTAAATTATTTTGTCATGCACATATAAACATTTATTATGCACTACTTTTCTAAATATTTTTTGTTTCTTTTTCCAACAGTCATTTTAGGCACATTTTTCACAAATGGGGAAACTCCTTTTTGCAATACCTCAATTTTTCACATTGTGAAAGGTAGCTTTTGTACTTTTGTTACTGAAAGATCTGCATATATGGAAATGTTCATTTTAGGAAAAACAAAAAAAGTTGAGTGATTTCAATATATATTATTTTCAATTATGCTTTTTATACATTTCAGTGCTGAGGAATCTTTACAACTAAGTGCGCACTTGTGTTGATGCGACTTCAGATGTGCAGAGGAGAGACCAAAGTGTATCGCTCTCTTGGTCTTAGCTTTTCTTACACTAGATGTTTTCCAGTCGATCTGGTCAATAAGAGCATGGCGAGAAAAAGAAAGAAAGAAAGACATATAATTTGGGATTGATGTTAATGTGTCTAAAAATGGCTATACTAGTTGGAAATGGTAACTTCTGTCTTGGTTTCCTCTCCATAGATGGAGCATAACTTATTATATAAGGAGAATGCAAAATTTGGTTCACGCTTAACGCTGAATCTCGTATCACAAGAATGGATGTTTGGTGTTTAGATATTTTAATATTTGAAAAAAAAGTATATATATATATTCTTGAACTTGCCAACTAGCACCTATTGTAATCCTTAGCATGCATGACGAAAAAAAAAAAAAGAAAATGACAAGTACAATGAATTAGCTATTACAATTAATTGTTGTGGTGTGCACCAAATGTTTCTCAACTATTCAGTTAAGGACACCCCGAACCCGCTCTCACCTCACCCTCTTCCCATGTTCCCGCCCCACGTGTCGATTTCCTCGCTTCCCCATTCGCAGACCTCTGCAGGATGCACGTGACAGAGAGATAAAAGAAACCTACCTTTGAATTGATTTGGCAGTGCAGGACTTTGAGCATCCTTTATATAGAGAACACTGTTTAAAAAGACTTGAGAACCTGTCCCCGCTGTCTGTCGAGGTGATCTTACATAGACCTATCTGGAGGAAAGGGGAGCTTAAAGACTTGAATGTGGTAAATGTTGCAAGTTAACTTCAAGTTGTTATGTGCAATACTTCTTTTGAACCTTTTTCCAGATAAAGACTCTTTGCAATGTAATTCTTTAATGCCATTTTTAATTGCAGACATTTAATTAAAGAAGATGTTAATATGTTTTTCACAGTCATTTTCTACTGTTATTGTAATCCTTTTCATGCTGGTGTTTGTAAAAAAGAAAAGAAATCAAACTATTTGTACTAATATAAATAATTGAAGTTATTTTTAAAACATTAAAGGTTTTGTGCTCATTTGCTTATTTTGTTTATTTTAAGCTACTGTGATTGATTGCATTGTAATTATTAGGTCAACAATGTATTTAGCTGTTTATTGGTATATTTTTAATTGGAATGTATAATTGATTTTTATAATTTTGATCAGATTTTTGTTATATTTTTGAGGTGAAGCTTTTAATATGTTAAAGTGTCTAGTTTTTACTAATTGCTATATTGTGCTCCACAATATATGGTTCACATTTTCTGAAGGAAAATAAATATTTAAATATTTGTCTGTTAATGATGTTACTTAATGGCAAGATTTCAATAGTTTTTAACTGTGTATGGGAAGGTTGTTGTATTTATTAATAGCATTTTTTTACTTAAGATATCACCTTAATTTTTATTGTCATTTCACTTTATAAGTTCCTATTTTTGTATTTTCCTTTCTAATTAAGTTATGTAATACGGATATGTCCATATTTCTAGGAGTTGGTCTGTAGAAGTGCTAGTGAAACGAAAAAGAAAAATCTAATGTTATTTAATTGTTTGCAGCCAACTATTTATAACAGTATGCATAATTTTTAAATATTTGTAATGTGAAATGTTGAATGAAATAAATCTTAACTGTGATGAAAGCCTGTGTGTGATGTGATTATTTATGACTGTTGTGTTGTCACAGCTTTAAACCTTCAGCTCCTTAATCAGTGTTCAAATCTGGCTGAAAGTTGAATAATTAAAGAGGAGTGTCGATGCCTTGTCTGGCTAAAGGCATCCGCTGTCCGCCTGATCTTCTACAATTCACAAGAATTCCCACTCCTAGAGAAAACTGCACACGACAGTCATCTGATGGCTCAAGGTCGTATTTGTTGTTTTATGGGATTTTTCTCGATGACGAGAAAACTTTGACGTTCCTTCAGTTTTTCACGCATTCAACAACTGAGAAGAAGAATGAGCTGAATGAAAGAATATTGTTTTCCTTCTTATTTTATTTTATTTTTTATATCAAACAACGATAACCGGAGAAATTCAACATGCAGGATTTTAAATTGTTAAGGGAACAAAGTTGTCTAAACCTACCTGGCTCTGTGTGATAAAGTAATAGATGGTTGTGCCTTGGCAACATGAACTGCAATCATGGCTTTCAGTAACTGGTAATTAGTCTTTCACATCACTGTGGAGGAATTTTGGTCCACTTTTTTTTTTTTTTTTTTTTTAAATTCAGCCACATTGGAGGGTTTTCCGGCATAAATGGTTTTCACACCAGATGTAACTGGTGTAAAAGTTATACTTTTGTCCCATCAGTCCATGGAATTCTTTCTCCAGAGTCTTGAGGATCATGAAGACGTTGTTTTTGTTTTTTTTATATATATTTATTCATACAAGACGAGCCTTTGTGCTCTTTTTGGTCAGCAGTGATTTATTTCAAACTCTCCCATGGAGGCCATTTTTGCCCAGTCTCTTTCTTATTGTTGAATCATGAACTCCTTAACTGAGGAAAGTGAGGGCTGCAGTGCTTTAGATGTTGAACTGGCTCCTTAGTGATCTCCTGGATGAGCCACTAGTGCTCTCCTGGAGTAATTTTGGTAGGTCGGCCACTCCTGGGAAGAGATGGGCAGTAACGCCTTACTGTAATCTGATTACTTTTTTCAAGTAACGAGTAAAGTAAGGGATTACTATTGCAAAAACGGTAATTAGATTACCGTTACTTTCCCGTAGGAACGCTGCGTTACTAAAACCGTGATTTTTTGCGAGAATGTCTCATGACAGTGACGTAAGCGAGTGCGACCTTAGTGACAACAGCTGTGTGCAGATCAACAATGGATAATATATCGAGTGCGGGAGAGAGTATGAGCGTGCAGCGTTTAAAGCTTGGAAGTACCTACCTTACTTTAAGTTTGATTCCATAAAAAGTGACAAAAACATTAGCGTCCGCTGCTCACGTGGGAAGAAAACTTCTTTTTACAGCGAAAAAAACCCCCCTAAACTTCCGAGCAAGCACCGAGTGCGCTACGACGTAATGGGAAATTCACAGAGAAACTGCCGTATCCTTCCACTGACCGCTGCGGCACACCTGCACCAGGGTAAACCTCCGCCTACCCCACTCCTGCTTTACAGGTGAAAATAGAGCAACAGGACCGCTGAGTCTTTGACTTTATTTATTTTCTGCTGTGTTTTACTTGCATCGATTTGAAAGAGTGAGTGTAAACACAAAAAAAAATAATTATTATTTTATGTGCTGGAATGTGCAGAAAATAGGTTTAAATATTAAACAAATTTCTTCCAGTCAGAGAATGTTGCATATAATTAAATTTTTGCTTGATGCATAAAGTTAAAAGATTAAAACTGATAAAACAAGTTAAAAAAAGAGACTTTTCCATTTGATTACATTTTGTATGATGGATTATGTAGAAAAAGTAGAATTGGGCTGAAAGATCTTTCGCTTTATCACCTATTCAGGTTGTAAATCGTGTTTTTAAAAAGTAACTAAGTAACTAAGTAATTACCTTTTAGTTCATGTTTGAGTATAAAAGGAGCTGTCTACACTTTTTCTTTGTGAGTTCATTACTACCTATCTAATAACCCAGACACGACCTGTTCTTTTGTTTTCTGAACATGTGTGACAGCTCGGTAACACCACCAGCTGGCTGCATCTTATTTGTAACAGAAGTCCTCTTTCCATGTAAAGTGTGATTTTTAGTCAAAGAAATGTAAATTTTGTAGAGATGTTTGATACAGTTAGGCCATAAATATTTGCACAGAGACAACTTTTTCTATTTTTGGTTCTGTACATTACCACAATTAATTTTAAATGAAACGACTCAGATGCAGTTGAAATGCAGACTTTCAGCTTTAATTCAGTGAGTTGAACAAAAAGATTGCATAAAAATGTGAGGAACGAAGACATTTTTAACACAATCCCTTCATTTCAGGGGCTCGGCGTAATTGGACAAATTAAATAACTAAAAATAAAATGTTCATCTCTAATACTTTGTTGAAAGCCCTTTGCTGGCAATGACAGCCTGAAGTCTTGAACATGGACATCACCAGATGCTGGGTTTCCTCCTTTTTAATGCTCTGCTAGGCCTTTACTGCAGCGGCTTTCAGTTGCTGTTTGTTTGTGGGCGTTGCTGTCCAAAGTTTAGTCTTCAATAAATGAAATGCATACCCAACTGGGTTACGGTTAGGTGACTGACTTGGCCAGTCAAGAATATTCAATTTCGTTGCATTAATAAACTCCTGGGTTGCTTTGCTGTATGTGTTGGGTCATTGTCCATCTGTATTATGAAACGCTGCCCAATCAATTTGACTGCATTAGCTGGATCTGAAAAGAGTGTATGTCTCCGTCTCATTTGGCTTTTGTCCTGTGTCACATCATCAACAAACAGTAGTGTCCCAGTGCCGCTGGCAGCCATGCACACCCAAGCCATCGCACTGCCCCTGCCCTGCTTCACAGATGATGTGGTATTATTTGGATCATGAGCTGTTCCACAGCTTCTCCATACTCTTCTCCTTTTTCTTGCCATCATTCTGGTAGAGGTTGATTTTGGTTTCATCTGTCGAAATATTTTTTTTCCAGAACTGTGCTGGGGTTTGGCTTTTTTTTTAGACGTTTTTATTTACTTATTTATTTTTTGAGCAAAGTCCAATCTAGCCTTTTTATTCTTGAGGCTTATGAGCGGTTTGCACTTTGCAGTGAACTCTCTGTATTTACTTTCATGCAGTCTTCTTGGATATTGATACGCATACCTCCTGGAGAGTGTTGTTCACTTGGTTGATGTTGTGAGGTGGTTTCTCTTCACTGTGGAAATGATACTGCGATCATCCACAATTGTTGTCTTCCATGGACGTCCATCTTTTTTTGCGTTGCTGAGTTCACCAGTGCTTTCTTTCCTTGGATGTACCAAACAGTAGATTTTGCCACTCCTGTTATTGTAGCAGATGTTTTTTTTTTCTGTTTTCATAGCTTAAGGATAGCTTTGTTCACCTTCATGGAAAACTCCTTTAACCACATGTTGTCTTTTCACAGCAAAATCTTCTAAATGCAAGCACCACACCTCAAATCAACCCCAGGCCTTTTGTCTGCATTACTGATAATGACTTTGAGTTAATTGTCCAATTACTTTTGGTCCCCTTTCTCCAATTTGAATGTGGATACCCTCAAATGAAAGCTGAGAGACTACACATTCTGTCCATTATATAATTATAAATGGAAAGTGTTTGGATAAGCAGGTAAAAAAACAAAACTTGTGTCAATGTCCAAATATATATGGACCTAGCTGTAGTTGTTAGTGTGATACAGCCTACCTTTTCAGGTGAGGGGAGGGAAGAACATGTTGTTATCAGGAAGACAAGTTTAGAATAACATAAAACATATCTCGTCCACACCCAGTAATATGAATATAACAAGATGACTGCAGTATTAAACTATCCTGGTGCTCAGCTTATAGGCTGAAAATCAATACGTCATCATCTGATTCCCATGGACAAACAAACGGAGCTTGTTAGATTGTGTCAGGAAATTGTATGAAGAAATAATTTGTATTACCTCATACCACAGGGCAGCTGGAGGATGATATTTCTCCACTGCAAACAGAGCTCCATCTTTGAGGTTCTCACAAAAGGAGATGATGCAATGGCTGAAAAAAAAATGTCTGCAAAATCACTTTAGGTGTATTGTGTCTCGCTTACAGTCAATTATCCCATTTTAGTCGGTTCCCTGAGAACCATAAAGGAGCTAATTCCTAAACCTGAGAGGACGCAGTAGGAACATTACAGTAAGTATACAGAAACAGGCATCAGATTATATCTCTGTTCAGCTGCTGAATAATCAGGTAATCACCCGTCACAAAAGGATGAAGGGTGGTCATGCTCAGCTAAACTTCTAAATACTTTCAATACGTTTGACGGCAGGGAAATAAATGGAAGCTCATCTTTAATCATCTGATGTGCTATAAAAAATATTATATTTGATCCATGGAGGAGTTAGGTGTTTATGTCAGCTGACTTGATAACCTCAGGAAGATCTGCAAGCACAGCAATGAAGCAGAAAAGTGCATAAAAGATTACGTTTCCCCTGTTGTGCCTCTATGGAAATGCGCTTCCTGGCCAGGAGGGTAGAGAAGGTGGTTAAACCACGGAGAAGGTGAAAAAGCATGAAAAAGTCACCACCTCTGTGAAATATGGCTGCCTACATACCGACTCTTGGGCTCCAAATGTCCCGTTAATGCTGCATACAGGTTACACGTCCCCACAAACTTGTGAAATATGATTATGATTATTATTAATAATATTAATGATTAAATAATAATGAATACCATTATCATTAGTTGTATTATTTGCAGCATTTGTACCTTTCAAATTGTCTCCAGCAGCATTAGTAGTCATATTATTATTTTCACTCATTAGTAGAAGCAGTGATTATTTGAATAATGCTAGTTTTAGTAGTAATCGTATTAGTAAGCAATAGTAGTAATAAGTCAGATTAAGTAATAGTAATACCTTTTGCAGTATTTGTACCCTGCCAATTGTCTCTAGCAGTAATGCTAGTAGTATTGGTATTTTCATTGGTAGGATTAGTAGAAGCAGTGATAATTTACAGTAATGCTAGTTTTAGTAGTAACAGGATAGAATGGCG